AGTATTCTCTTGAACATCGGAATTGTTTTAGTGATGGGCATATTGATTCTTCAGTTTAAGCCCATATTATAATATATATTATATATATGTATATATATATTTTTACAATATTCTATAAATTTTACCGAATGTTTGGCGTTAATATGTTTGTAGTTCGTTTTTTCGATTTTTCTCACTAAAGTTTTTCGGTGAACGTTTAGTGGCACTCCGGATGACTTTGTTTTTACACCAGACAAATGCCTTTTGAAAAATACCTGTTGAGTTCTTTCAGTCAAGTAGGTGTCAACTAGTTCTCAAGCTCATTGAAATCTGTGTTTGTTTTTTCAAAATGGGTATCACAACCGCATGCTTGCAAAAAACAGGAAACGCTCCATCACACAAACATAAATTAACTAAACTTGTGAGAAACGAGATGAAGAGGTTTATATGTTTTTTTCAATTTTTTTAAAATGTGAGTAGGAAAGACGTTTAACATGCAAAACTTAGATGGTAGATTAAGAACAATTTTTTTATGTCTACTTTTGAAACCACTGCAAAATTTGAAAACAAATAGCTACTGTTTAATTTACATCCATCAAAAACTGGTTTGTCAACAACTTTGGTGTCTCGTTTTATTTTGTTGATTTTTTCTTTAAAATAATCAACAAATTAAGAACAAATGATGTCAACATGTTTCTGAGACGATTCGTTATAATTTTTGCAAATGATTTTATTAATTACTTTCCACAAATTTTTAGGGTTTCCGTTTTTTTCCTTTACCAGTGTTTTACAATAACAATTTCTTTTTTTAGAGTAACATTTAGTTTTATTTCGCAAAGCAGCAAAGCACTCCGACAGGCAGATGATAAATATTTTCTATATTCTCTTTTCTTCTCTCGATAAAGTTTTTTAACCTCATTGAATTGAAGGCTTACGATGCATAAACAGAGTGGTGCTACCAAATCTCATTTGGACTCAACACACTCAATCACTGTAAGCCCTGAAATCCTTGACAGCAACATCAAAATAATATACCAGAACACCAACTAAACGCATCTTAAAATTGCAGAAGCAGTCTTAATGGACATCAATAAACCCAAAATAAATATACAGCAAACAATGACAGCCTCACTCCCAACCCGGCGCTTAACCAAAAATGAAAACAAATAAGTAATAAAAACTAGCATTGTAAATAATATATGCTATAATAATATGATGTTATCGCTGAAGAAAAGGAAACCAACGAAGATGGACTAGCCAATAAAGAAATCTTACACCTAATTTCCATCTAAGTTCATTTTCACAAAGTAAATATTTCCCTATATAAATCAACTTGCACTGATGATGATTCATTCGGAATCGAAATAGTCCTTATTTGCAGCATGAATTCGAAAAATAAGTTTATTTAGAATTTTAATAAACTAAACGTTCTCCAAAAAAAACCGTAGTGAGAAAAATCGAAAAAA